ATCACATCAGCTGTTAGTTTCGTTTAGTTTTGGTAGATGGCGCAGCAGCAGTGAATCTATTTGAGTTTTGCCAGCGCCACCAGCAGGAGTGGGGTGGCCTAGTGTGTTAGCTGCATGACGCTCGATCAAGAAGTCGCGGTTCGAATCCCGATCGGTGCAACACTGATGTTAATTTTTTTTAATTGTTTCAAAATATTTTTATATTTTCATAAATGCGTTTTCTATTTAATTTATATTTTTAAATACACCGAAATTGAAATTTTAACTATACTTTATGTGCGTTTTTAATAGTTTGGTTATTCTAGCAGATTCTTAGAATCACATCAGCAGTTAGTTTCGTTTAGTTTTGGTAGATGGCGCTGCAGCAGTGAATCTATTTGAGTTTTGCCAGCGCCACTAGCAGGAGTGAGGTGGCCTAGTGTGTTAGCAGCATGACGCTCGATCGAGGAGTCGCGGTTCGAATCCCGATCGATGCAACTGATGTTAATTTTTTTTAATTGTTTCAAAATATTTTTATATTTTATTAAATGAGTTTGGTATTTTATTTATATTTTTAAATACATCGAAATTGAAATTTCAGCCATACTAAATGAGCATTTTTATTTGTTGGGTTCAGGGTAGTATCTAGTCGAGCACTCTCGACTAGAATTTTCTTACTTGTTTTTATTAGACAGATTTATTTCAGATAGAATATTATATTTCGTTAAATCAGTAGAGAAATTAATTCGTATACAACACAAACAGCAAATTAGTAGTTAGATAGCTGAGGTAAAGCTTGAAGCTCCATTTAAAGATTTGCTCTTAGATTATGGCTATAAAATAAATACAGCACATTTCAGTTTATCTTGCAGGCACTGTCGGCTACGCTCCACTGTTAGATAAATGCCAAAGCGTCTTCATTCATTCAGAGCATAGCAAATATTACGTTTGGCCTTCTGAATGCTCCCATCAAGAGTGAAGCGGCATTTGTAGGCATCGAAATAATGACAGCGATTGATAGAAATAATTAAGATAGATTGCAGCTTGGGCAGGCCGCAATTAAGATCTCAGCTGAGAGCTTTGATCTGACTGGGAAATGAGTCTCAAGCAATTTGTATTCGGCAAATGTTTATTGCGCTGTTCTCGGGGCTTTCCATTACGGTATAATCACTTTCCACTTAGAGCAACGGCTTCGGCAGCGACTTCGACAACGGCAAAGGTTTCGCTTGCGGTGTTGATGTCGGCACTTAGCACACACACACACACACACAGACAAAGAGAAAGAGAAAGAGACAGATAGAGAGAGAGAGGGAGATAAACAAACACACACACACATAGAGAGAGAGATACGCAAATAGAACAACAATAACAACAATATATTTCAGCTTTAGCACCTAGGGGCAACTAGCTGGAGAAGCATTCAATCACTGGCTCCCACTTGGCGCATGATAATGTGAAAATGGAACGAGAAGCTGCCGCCTGGCACTCGAGTTGGACATGGCCCGGGGCCGGTTCGCAGCTCTGCTGAGCTACAGCTGAAAATTTGCATAATCATGCTAAGTGCGGCAAATTGTTGGAGCAATCAATGGGACATTATCAGGGCAACATGCGAGCACTCTCGCACTGGATGGAGCTCGAGCTGAAGCTGGAGCTGTAGAGCTGATGGTGGCGCGACAAAGACACAGTTGACAGCATCATTCGTCACGGCCAGTTGCAAGACGCGAATTGAATGTTGGCTATCAGCCGGGCCCCAAGACAATCGACGGCGCTGATGATGACAACTAAACGCCCCAAGGGGGAGGCTGGCGCGGTAGGGGGGGTCGGGTAGAGGGTCATAGAGGGCTAAGGCCTCTCAATTAATGATGGCTCGCGGTTGCGGGGTGAATGATCAGTTAAGTGGCAGCAAGTGGCGATCGATGCCGGCTAAATAAAATATGCGCCATTAGAAATTCCAAAGCTCAGCATAAGAAAGGCTCACCGAGCTGCTAGGCTCTAACCGTAAATATCGCAAAGAGATTCATAATTTCATTTGAATTTCTTCAAATTTGCATCTGCTTAAAGTTCAACTCTTGGCCCTCGTTGCCCTCGTTGTTCGTTGCCCGTTGGCCGCTAGCTGTTAGCTGTTAGCTGCTGCCAAATTAGCTGCCTGATTTCACATCTAATTTCCATTCTATGTGCAAACCACACAACAAGCCATAAAAAGAATAGAGCGACGGCTAGAGGGGGCTACAGAGGGCTGGAGTGGGCTGGAGAGGGAGAGCAGCACAAGCTGGGCCATTTGGCTTGCTTTTGTTTGCTTGTGTCTCGTGCATTGAACTTTCAACTTGGCCAAGTCCAAATCGAAGTTGCTCCAAGTTCAATTCGGATCTCTCCATACCAAACCTGAATCAATTTATGAGGCATTGCCACGACGACGACGACGACGTCCGATACCCGATGCCCGATGACCGATGCCAGCTGCCCGTCTAGGCTCGTCTCATTCAATGTCCATTTCAATCCATTTCGATTACCATTCACAGCATGTGTTTTGCAGTTTTGACATTTGACACCGTTGAACTTTTTTCACTCTCTCCTCCCCTTTCCCTCCTCCCCTTCACTTGGATTTTTATGCTAATTTCGTTAAAGAGATTTCAGCTCGCAGTTCTCTTCGACTCTGTTGTCATGCAGATGCCGTTGCTGTCACCTGCGACTTGGATGATATGTGGCCCCCTTAAGCGGACAATGCAGCAGATTACAATACCTAAATGATTTCTGCGACATAATAAATGTGCACAAAATTAACATATTTCTTTTGCTCTTCTCATTCCTTTCATTTTTCGTTTGTCCAATTAATTATTTTGCTATTCATTTGGCACTCGCAACTTCTGGCTGAATCGAATCGAGCTCGAAGCACAGTTACCAGACCCTCATTACAGCTCGTCGTTGGCTCCAGCATTGTGAAGACTAGCATCCAGATTCTCGATTGCTGGGCAGGTGCCTACGACGGAAATGCATACCTAGTCTGATATAAAGAGATATGCCAACGGAAGCTGCCGATCTTGCAGTCTCATTTCTAGGGCAACCGATTGGGCAAACAATATGCATAATGTTAATAAATTGAGCTTGTTAATTTTAGAGAAATTTTAAAGCTGCAAATACTTCGTAGTCTGTCTGCTGAATGAGTGGGCCGTCGGGATAAAATTATCAATTTGACTGGCCAAATTCACAGGCAAGGGAAGGGAAGGGCCAGAAGAGAGGTGTGGAAGTAGTAGACAATTCTCTTGATGGACTCTCAATTATGGTAACATTTCATAGTACTTCAATCTTATGGAATGACTCTCTACCTCTGATATGTAAGACTTCATTTATATGTGTATCGCATTTTGGTGTTAGTTGGGCTCAAAAACCACAAGCCTTAGACAGACAGTAGAATCCGGCTATAACGACTTCGGTTATACCGTCCGTACGTTCATTACGACTAAAATTCTGATTCCAGACAAATTTATCTGAGCAAACATAGGGTTATAGCGTCTTTCGGGTATAACGACGGTCCCTTGAGTGTCGTTATAGCTGGATTCTACACTATATATACTGTACTGTATATATATACAGTAGAATCCGGCTATAGCGCCACGCCTCAAAGGGCATATTATAGGTCAATCTATAGAAGCGCTAAGCAGTGTTCGACCTTAGCCGTTTAAAGCCTTTGGATAGGTATAATTTGTACTACATATAATCTAAAATCCATTTGTTACACATTAAGAGCATGAATAATTAAATATATTATTTATTTATCTATAGTACAATAGCTGCGAATAATCAAAGTGCTAAAGCACTGGCAGCCATTATCTTCGGCTTTCTCTTCAATTTCTCTCTCTCTCTTTCTCTCTCTCTCTCTCACTCTCTCTCCCTCTCTCTCTCTCTCTCTCTCTCTCTCTGTCTCTCTCTCTCTCTCTCTCTCTCTCTCAATTACTCTTAGATGCCTTCGCCACATTCTCTTATGAGCATTTTATAAAATTAAAATAAATATATGAATCGATA